CCTATTGCATTTGACTCTACTCCTTCCTTGTTGACAGAAAGGATGGCAAGTGACTACTTGGTTTTTCTCTTTCTCCTGATATTGCTATTTATGCTGGGAGATTTGCTACTCAGTTACGTGACAGGATAGTTATGCCTTGTCCCCCATGTTTATCAGAACAGCATGCTTTGGCTTATCACTGCCAGGAAGAGTTATATTTAGATTTTCAATGGATGGACACCATTTTGGACCTGTGGTGGTCTAGTTTGAAACCTGTGATCAATTTAAACAGATTACAGTTTTCTTGGATTTGTCTACTTTCATGACTGTCCTGAGGTATTTATCTTCAATCCAACATTTGTCAGAAGCCTATCAATGTTCCCCTCAGCAATTTGAGGAGGAGTTGGGGATTTTTCTGAGATCTAACTCAGTCAGATTGTCTTCTTCAGTTTTTTCTGGTTTCCTGGCTGGTTCGTTGTTGGGATTTATTGGGTAGAGATGGTTTGTTAGAAAGTGTTTGTTTACCTCTTCTGCCGTCATGGAGTTATGGGAAGCTTCTTTTCTTCATCCTGTGTTGTTTGCTGGAGTTCCAGAGACGTTAAAATCACAAATTGATTCAGCTTGTTTATATTCTTCTTTACCATTGTTGGCTTAGTGCTTTTCTTGCGCTAATTTGGGAGTGTCATCTCGTACTGTTTCCTGATCCCCTCCTTCGGTTTCCATAATAGAGTCCATCTGTATTCTCTAGGATCTTTGGCTCAGGCAGACTGTTGACAATGGCATCAATGACTATCCTGTGGGTGTGGGAGCACAATTACATCACTTTTAATGGGTTTAAATGGAACCAAGTGCTTTAGTGCATCTGGCTTTTACCAGTGTTTTTTGTAGCAATTACTTATCTAGCTCCCTAGATTGTTTGCAATAGAAAGATCAAGTATACTTAGATTGATTATATATAATATAAAGGAACTTGAAAGTTACAGACACCTTCATGATGACTTTATAGTTATATGTGAGTCATATTTAAAGATTGTAGCACTGTAAACAGACACCTTCATGATGACTTTATAGTTATATGAGTCATATTTAAAGACTGTAGCAGTGTAAACAAACGTCTTCATGATGACTTTATAGTTATATGTGAGTCATATTTAAAGATTGTAGCAGTGTAAACAGACACCTTCATGATGACTTTATAGTTATATGTGTCATATTTAAAGATTGTAGCACTGTAAACAAACGTCTTCATGATGACTATATAGTTATATGTGAGTCATATTTAAAGATTGCAGCACCATAAACAGACATCATGATGGTTTTACAGCTACAGATAAGTCATTTAAAGATTGCAGCACTGTAAACAAACGTCTTCATGATGACTTTATAGTTATATGTGAGTCATATTTAAAGATTGCAGCATTGTAAACAAATGTCTTCATGATGGTTTTACAGCTACAGATAAGTCATTTAAAGATTGCAGCATTGTAAACAAATGTCTTCATGATTACATATTTGCTAACAACGTAGTGAAGGAGAACATTGGAAAATAAGTATTTATAATTGTAAATACTTCTTTTTTGTAACTAAAATTTGTCTTCAGAATTCTGTGTTTATGATATTTAAATTTTTTATGTTCTGTTATAAGTGTGTCTTATTCTTATTTTCCATGTGTAGTAAAATCATGTTGTTTTTTGTAGCATGGGAGGAGCATTAGCAGTACACACTGCCTACAATGAACACATTCCCTCAATTATAGGCCTAGTAGTGATTGACGTTGTTGAGGGTAAGGAAGTGATTTTATGGAGTACATTTTACTTCTATAGATAAAAATTTCTTGAAAATGTTGAGTTTCACTAGCATTTCATTCATTTTGAGTTATTTGTATTGGTTTTAGATAATGTGCATTAATTCACAAGATTAGGTTAAATTCACAGTTTTGAAATCATACCTGAAATATACAAGGAAGTTTGTTTCTTCAATGTTCGTGGTTTTCTACAAATTTGTATACGATGGCAATAAAAACTGTTAATGTGGTTCCAAAATGATATTTTCTTAGATGCTTCACATGAGCTTAGAATTTTAGCTGAGTTTTTTACTAATGGTTCAGCATGGGCCATTTTTTTTTCTGTCATGATAAAAATTAAAGGAAATAAATCCAGTGTTATCTTATTTTTAAATTGGGACTCTTGTTCCATTTTCTCCTGCTGACGAATATCTTTTAACATATTTACAGACTACAGTAAGTAATCATTTGTTTTCTCCAGTAAACCACATAAGTAATTTTCATTGTTTTACAACAAGTTTACAGATTACAGTACTTAATATTTATAGAAGGAACTTCTTTAGAACCACCAGTCACACTTCTGGATACAGTTTGTTGTGATGATTAACATTATAGAAGAAACTATGACTTATATGTAATTTTAAGTCACTACTACAATTTATTTCTAATTTGAAGGCACTGTACTTATATCTAATTTGAAGGCACTGTTATTACTTATATTTAATTTGAAGGCACTGTTATTACTTATATCTAATTTGAAGGCACTGTTGTTACTTGTATCTAATTTTAAGACATTGCTGTGATTTATATATAATTTGAAGGCACTGCTATAGTATAGATGTAAGTTCCAACAAAACATTATGTATTTGTAATTTTCAGGCACTGCTATAGTGTATATGTAAGTTCCAACAAAACATTATGTATTTGTAATTTTCAGGCACTGCTATAGTATAGATGTAAGTTCCAACAAAACATTATGTATTTGTAATTTTCAGGCACTGCTATGGATGCTTTACAAAGCATGCAGGGTGTTTTAAGAGGTCGACCAACTTTGTTTTCATCCTTAGAAAAAGCAATTGAGTGGTGGTAAGTTATATCTAACTAACTCTAAAGGATTTTGTAAATTCACTTAGAAGCTAATTAGAATCATCCTTAACACATGATAAAGAAACTTTAAAATAGAAAGTTTGTGAAAATGAAAGTCCATAGAAATTTTAGCCAACATACCTATATTCAAATGCGGACTGCCCCAGTTTTACTGCCCATGGTGCATTTGATGTTTCATAGAGATCAGTAGAATAGTACTAGGAACACGTGAAATATAGACATAAGCTCAGCCTAATCTTATTCAATTATGTTATTAATTTAATTTCATTTAACATTCAGTTTAAATTAAATTTTATTATATGCAGTCAGACAACTCTGTGTCATTCTTTTGTTTAGAATAACTTTCTTGCATTATCTTTTCCATAATTTAGTTAATATAATGATTATACTTATTAAATACAATGCTGTTTATGACACTGCAGGATTTGCTATTGAGGTAGCATGAATTTATTTATATAGCATTCGTAGCGGCCAGGTTCGTAATTTGGAGTCAGCCAGGGTATCTATGCCAGGTCAGTTGAAGAGGTGAGTTAACAATTATTAGTATATCTTACCTCTCTTCTAGTTCTAGGATATACTAACAACTATTAACTGAAATCTCTTCTAGTTCACTAACAACTGTTAACTGAAAAGTTCCAGGATACTTCTGGATACACTAACAACTGTTAACTGAAACCTCTCTGTAACTAGAAGAGATTTCAGTTAATAGTTGTTAGTATATCCTAGAACTAGAAGAGAGGTCAGTTAACAGTTGTTAGTATATCCTAGAACTAGAAGAGAGGTCAGTTAACAGTTGTTAGTATATCCTAGAACTAGAAGAGAGGTCAGTTAACAGTTGTTAGTATACCATAGAACTAGAAAATAGGTCAGTTAACAGTTGTTAACATTTATAAAACATTTTTGGGTTAACGAAGAGGTTAACAAATTTAACATTTATGAAATATATATATTGGAATAAGCCAAGAGTTTACTTAACACCAGAAACATCCTAAAGTTAGTAATTGCAAGCTTTTCTAAAATGAATCAATAATTTCTTACATTATCCAGTGATTCAGTAATTGCTAATGTTTGAAAGTATATTTTAAGGATAGTAAAAAATAATGAATATTAAATTCACAGCCATCAGTTTATATGTAACATACAAAAATTTATTGTATAGAATTAAGCATTTCATATTTTTAGCTGGTGCATAGTGGGATTATAGAATGGCTCTGAGTTTTTTTTTTCAGTACAAAGCTCCATAATCTCTTGACTGATTTGAGATCTAATTACAGTTTTGGACTCAGGAAGTCAAACCCTTTTTATTGATGTATTTGACTACACCCAAGGTCTTATAGTTTAATTTACTCTAATCCTGTCTAATAGGACTTCAGTTTGAGGGTAGGCTGGTAAAGATCCTGATGAGTAATAAAATCAAATTGGGTATTTGTGCACCTTACACTTGGTATTGCTTGCTAATAAAAAGATCTCGTAGATTAATTTATTCTAATCCTTCCGAAAAGAATTTCAAGTGCTGCTACTATAGAGGATTCCTCCTTGTTTGTTTATACGATTCTTGGTGCTCTTACTTTATGTAATACTCTATACCTAGCATTAACTTCTATTCCTACATATTTATTTCATTCTGTGACAAGTCAGATCCAAAGAACCATATTATTATGGTGCCAGATGAATTATAAAAGTTTATGGAGAGAAGAGGAGGAAGGATTACATGTTTGGAAAACCAACAAAGAAGGTGTTTACTATACCTTGAAATACCAGTGATGCATGAAACAAACAATATATTACATAC